TGCTTTCGCACTGTGCTCTTCCTCTGTTGGCTCATTGGGGTTCAGGGCAATCATTTTTTGATACAAGTCGCTTCGTTTAGTTGCATTATTTACTTCCGACTCCAAAAACGTCCTGAAAGATGTAGCATATGTTTAAAAGAGGAAACTTTTTCACTAACTAGCCAGAAGAAGTGTTTGAAGCAAGCACTACTGTTGCACAGAATCTTTGGCGATATGAAATCAGCCAACTAACGGTAATCGTGAAATAAGGAATGACTAACCGAGTCCCCATTTTGATATCCATTATTGCGGGATTATCGAAAAGCGCTGTGAGATCCTCGATTTCAATGAAAGCTGTAAAAACTGCCGTGAGGATTTAGTTAAACTCGAAATATTGCAAATGACCAAAATTTTGCTTTCGAACATTTGCTCCTAAACAAGCGGAATTCTTACACAGATTAAGGATTTATGTTTCTCTTGCTGCTTCAGGACCGCTGCACTCAGGACAAGTGCTGTTGGGAACACAATAAGTGAATGTTTCGTAGAAAGATCCTGATAAGATCTTCCAATATCATACTGTATAATGTATTTTCATATAACATAACTTGTACTACAATATTTCACTGTCTGGCTTTTGAGAAGAACATGAGAACTATGGAGCCAAGACCACAAGTCCTTACACTGGGCTTATTTCTCAGAACGCTTCCTCCACGCAGTATTAGAGAGCACGAAACAACAGCTGAGCAACGTGCGTGTTGGCTGATGAATCTGCACAACATCACAGGTTAAACTCATGCGAAAGTGATGCTTTAAATTACGGGGAGTTGCCAAGTGCTAAAGGCAAGGTCGTGCACTACCTCACCTAACTTGGAGGCGCCGTATTTTAATAACTGGATGTAAAACATTCAAAACTAACATTCATTTTTGTACTTCACTTCTCTGTAATATCGCGCAACGAAGCCGTCCAATGCCGGGTCGTTCATCAGCGAACGATATGCATCCCCTTCATTGTAATCACTGCCAGTTCGCTTCTTCCATAACGTATGATCAGTTGCCGGCACTATTGTTCCTGAAATGTGCCATCTTGTATATTCGAAGCTATAGCAAAATAATGTAAAATAAATG